ATTCAATCACTACCTGGCACATTATCAGAGCCCCAAACACTCCCACCCTAATCTTCATTCCTCTGTTAAACCAGCCTTTGTACCAGAAATATGCAGCAGGAAGGTAGAACACAGCTCCAACCATACGACCCCACATTCTGTGAGCATATTCCATGTACCAAATCCAATTGAAATGAGTTAGAGTGATGTCTTGGTTGGAACTGCAGAAAAAAGTTCTTCTTTAGGGCTGGACCATTTAACTTTTGAGGGGGAGAGCGGGTGATTTTGAGAACAAAAAAAATTCAAAAGCATGTTCAGTGTACTAGAAAAAGCATGTTGTACAGAGAAAAAGATATCATACATTCGCAACTCTTCAGACAAAAAAAAAAAAAACATTCCTAGAGCATAAAAAGATTAAAAAAATTCATACCTACATGTATACCAAATCACCCACCCACATATTTTCTGGAGCCACACAATCAACAAATCCAGCGTTATCTAAGAAAGACTATTTTCACTCAGTTCAAAAAGGCTGTGGTAATCAGACATTCGTGTAGCATCAAAGGCAAGAAAAGCATGCAAAGGACACTACACAGTACAAATAGCCCCTTTCGCACACAGCATGACTGTACTGTGCTAGATGTCAGTGGAGACTCCTGTATAAAAAGGATGGGGGTACACTATAGGGGTTAAAAATGCAGTTTTGGTACCTCTCAGGGTGTTCAGCCTCAANGTACCAGATCCACTTGAATTGCGTTAGAGTGATGTCTTGGTTGGAACTGCAGAAAAAAAGTTCTTCTTTACGACTGGACCATTTAACTTTTGAGGAGGAGAGCAGATGATTTGAGAAAAAAAATATTCTGCAAATACCACAAAAAATTCAGGCAGAGGCCACTGCCAAAAAAAATTCATGCATGCTTAGTGAGCTAGAAAAAGCATGTCGCACAGAGAAAAATTAAAACCATGCATACACAACTCTTGAGAAAAACATTCCTGGAGCATAAAAGGGCTAAAAAACCTCATACACATACTACATCACCCGCCCTGGCCCACAAAATTTTCTGCAGCCACACAATTAATAAATCCAGCATTATCCAAGGAAGACTATTTTCACTCAGTTCAAGAAAGTTGTAGTAATCAGGAATTTGTGTAGTATCAAAGGCTGCAGCAAAGCGTGCAAAGGGCACTACATAATATAAATAGCCCCTCTCACACATAGCGTGACTGTACTGCGCTAGATTTTAGGAGAGACTCCCATACAAAAAGTATGGGGGTACCTTTTGGGGGTTAAAAATGTGGTTGTGGTATCTTTTATGGTGTTCAGCTTCAAAAGGTTCACAGTGGGAGCTTTTAATTTGTGTTAGATTTTAGGGTATTGAGCCAAAAGTAATGTGACAAGAGATACATGTACATGTAATGTGCTGTTTTGGAATTGGTACCTCTTAGGGCTGACCAAAATTTCAAGCCACACCCACAAAACAGGATCTTGGTACCTCTTACGCGTTCTTTAATTTCAAAATTTCTGACAAGCACCCCTGTCCTTTTATATGGGAGTTCTCCCCCCCCAGACTAGATGTTATTCACTGCAGGCATACACTAAGTACAAATATTTTCTCACACTTCTTGCGTTTGAGGCATCTTAACCTTTTATATACAGCATTTCAGATTGTGGCTTACTATTTGTATTCTGGGTATTTCTGGTATCTCTCAAACTCCTTCTCCCATTCTTCTTGTGTTCTTGGTGGCTTCATTCCTTTGATTAGATGCCAGTCTACCATCGACAGACCAGATTCTGTGAGCCTTGTGACCCCGCCCAATACCACAGAGCCGACCACCAGACCAGCACAACCCAGTAGCCAATAACCTGACAAAT